CCCCAAAACCCCAAAACCCCAAAACCCCAAAACCCCAAAACCCCATAGGAAGATTCTAGAACTGAAAGAAAATTAATTTTCTGCTAAAACAAATATGGATTTTTCAAAGTTAGATACAATTAGGGAGATTAGTCGACTTCTTCCATTTTGGTGGCTTCATCATCACCATCAGCATCTCCGTCGTCTACGAGATCTGGTAGGTCATCATCTTCGTCTTCCTTATCATCGTCATAGATGGAGAGACCCAATTTGATCATTCTGTGGATTCTTCCGGCAAAGGTGGTAGACTCTTCAAGAGAGAATCCAGAGGTCAGGAGAGAGGTCTCATAGAGAAGCCAGATCAAATCCTTCACGGTCTTGTCTCCCTGGTCTTGCTCAGCCTTCTTTCTAAGCTCATCAATGATTGGATGCTTGGAGTTGACTTCCATAGTCTTCTTGGAAATCATGTAAGAGGTCATGGAGTTATCTCTTAAAGCTTGGGCTTTCATGATTCTTTCCATGTTAGCACTCCATCCGTTCTCACTGGTGACGAGGACGCATGGGGAGTCTTCAATTCTGGATCCGAGTTGGACCTTTTCGACCTTGTCTCCGAGAACATCTTTCATTAGTTTGCAGAGAGCTTCGAATTTAGCTTTCTCTTCTTCCTTTTTCTTCTTTTCTTCTTCAGTCTCTTCGAGGTCCAGTCCTTCCTTGGTTACTGAAACAAGTTTCTTTCCGTCGTATTCCTTGAGTTGCTGGACAGCGTACTCATCGATTGGATCTACGAGGAAGAGCACTTCCAATCCTCTCTTCTTTAATCCTTCAATGAATGGAGATTTAGAGACGGCAGCAATGGATTCTCCAGTAATGTAGTAAATAGACTTCTGTCCCTCCTTCATTCTAGAAACGTATTCCTTGAATGAGACGAGATCGTCTCCGCTCTTGGTTGAGTGATATCTCAAGAGTTCAGCCAACTTAGTCCTGTTGTTGGAATCTTCATGGACACCCAACTTGATGTTCTTCGAGAATTGTTCATAGAACTTCTTGTAGTCTTCTTGGTTCTCAGAGAGCTCAGCGAACATTTCGAGACACTTCTTGATGATAGATCTTCTGATTACCTTCAAGACCTTGTTTTGTTGGAGGGTCTCTCTTGAGATGTTCAATGGGAGATCATCACTATCAACAACTCCCTTAATGAATCCGAGCCATTCTGGAATGAGTTCATCACAATCATCCATGATGAAGACTCTTCTGACATACAATTTAATGTTGTTCTTCTTCTTCTTGGATTCAAAAAGATCGAATGGAGCTCTCTTTGGAACGAAGAGGAGAGCCTTGAACTCAAGCTGTCCCTCTACTGAAAAGTGCTTAACACCGAGGTGCTCCTCCCAGTCATTAGAGATAGATTTATAGAAAGAGGCATACTCTTCCTTAGTGACTTCCTCTGGCTTCTTCATCCACAAAGGCTTGGTCTTGTTCAACTGCTCATATTCGTGAGAAACTTCTTTAATCTTCTTTTTCTTCTTTTCTTTCTCTTTCTTCTCTTCCTCTTCGACTTTTGGTTCGTCGCCTTCTCCTTCCTTCTTCTCGTCCTTCTTCTCGTCTTCTTTCTTCTCGTCATCGTCGTCGTCATCAGACTCAGTGATCTCCTTCTCAGTGGTCTTCTCGCAGAGAAGTTCGATTGGGAAGCCAATGAACTCTGAGTGCTTCTTGACGAGATCCTTAAGTCTCTTCTCTTCAAGGAATTCTAGCTGGTCTTCCTTCAAGTGGAGGATGATCTTGGTTCCTCTCTTGAGGTCCTCACTGTCATCCTTATTGATAGTGAAGGTACCTCCAGCGTTAGACTCCCATCTGTATTGGTCGTCGTCGTTGGACTTTGAAACGACAGTGACTCTTTCAGCAACTAGGTAGGTTGAGTAGAATCCGACACCGAACTGACCGATCATTGACAAGTCAGCTCCTTGGGAAACAGCCTCCATGAAAGCCTTGGTGCCTGATTTGGCGATGGTACCGAGGTTGTTGATAAGCTCAGACTTGGTCATAGCAATACCACTATCAAATATAGTCAGGGTGTTGTTGCTCTTATCTGGAATTAGCTGGATTTTCAAATCTGGATTTGATTCCAAAGCTTCTGGCTCAGTGATTCCCTTGTATCTCATCTTATCCAAAGCATCTGAGGCATTGGACAAGATCTCTCTCAAGAAGATCTCTTTGTTTGAGTAGAAAGTATTGATGATCAAACTCATCAATTGCTGCAAGTCGGCATTGAAGCTGAATACTTCTTCAGACATCTTTTAATTTGTATCGAAAATTAATTATTGGATTCTGGAAAAACGCCCTTTTACGGGGTTTTGGGGTTTTGGGGTTTTGGGGTTTTGGGGTTTTGGGGTTTTGGGG